GATGAAGTGCTGTAATAATCGAATTTGTCCAAAATTACGTAAGAATTATATCTATAATCTCGTCTTATGGCGATATTAAGATTGTCTTTTAGTTCTTTTGAAGTGGTTTTGAGTTTTGTTATTCGAAGGTTATTGTATCTACTGCGAGGAGTACGATTTTTTCGACCTGCTTGAGAAGATCTGTGAGGTTTGGATGGAGTTTTATTAATTTGTCATTTTCCAATTGGGATAATGACTGGTGTAAGATTTCAGTTTCAGTCTTCTTTGTGAAGAGGTTAAAATAAGGCTGGAAATGGCAATTTGGTCCTAGATTTAGGAATTCCTTCTTGTCATCTGTTGGTTTATGACTGGATAATATTTCCTTGGTATAAGTTGCAAAGCTTTTTCGTAATTATTTGTCTGTGTTAAAGTTCATCATTTTTAATACTTAGGTTGATATGGAATTGTGCTTCATTATATTCGGGTTCAGTCAAAGTGATTTTAAGTGTCACATTATGTTTTTGATACTGATAATTTAAATTTTGGATTTCATTTTTAGCTGTTGTTATTTATCGCAAAACAAGTTTTTTTTTTTTCTGAATTTCGTAGTGTTACTTTCCTTGTTGGCTGCTGAGTCATGTAATTTAATAATTGTTTATTTGAGTAGCAATCCCTCTTTTATGCAAGTTTCGTTGAAAACAACTGAAAATTTGCAGTGGTTGAGTTTTTTATATAACTTCTAACGTGTTCATATAATTTATTTTTCTTTTCAGAATATAAATTATATAAACATTGTCCGAATATTTTCCAAGCGCTTTCGGCTATACTTTTAACCATTATGAAAGCTGAATATTATTTTATATTTAGATGAATATATGCACTGTTTTATTTATTCATTTAGAGTTATAGGAATGTTTCATTTTCCAAATACAGTCAGCACATTGTGTTCATAGTTGATATTATTGAGTGTTGGATATTTCTTTTTTTATTAATAATGCTTCCATTATTTTTACCCTTTTTAACATGTCGATGATGCTATTATATTTGCATTATCAACGAGTATGTTACGGATAGAGATTCGCAGATATCCATGTGTATTTAAATGAGACCTATTTGAGCTATTGTCAGAGAGATGTAACGTGAGTCTTCTTGTTAAACATGTTGTAGTATATATAATTATTTACAAATTTGGATTGGTCAGAAACACAGCTTTTTAAACGACATATAAACTCATAAATAATATTGGTTCTCTGTAATTTAGATCTTGGAGGTGAATTATTATTTTTGACAATGAGGTAAGCGGTTCTAATTATTTTATCATAATTAATTTTCTTGTTTTTATCAACTGGAGTTGTGTATTTCTTTATGATGTTTCTAAGTGAAAATGCATCTTGCTTATAGTTACTATGCATTTGATTTTTATAGAAAATGTTATTATTTTTTTCGATTTGTTCAGTGAAGCTATGGTTGCCTTAGAGCGATAATGTCTAACATGGTAATCTATAAGAGGGTTTGTAAAACCGTTATTAACAAGCGTTTGTTTGTACACACACACACACACATATATATATATATATATATATATATATATATATATATAAATTAGGAGGATTTGAGATAACTATAATTAAGTAATTAATCGAGTCTAGAAGAAACCTCAACAGAATGCAGAAAGCACTGGGCGGCCGTTTCGTCCTATATTTGGGACTCATCAGCAGTGTGCATGACAATACCGAGAATTGAAACCCGGACAGTTACGTTATCAGGCAAACGTCATACAAACGGGCATTGGTGACGGAGAGTTAGCAAATCAGACTCGGCCGTCCAGTGCTTTCAGGACTACACACACACACACACACACACACATATATATATATATATATATATATATATATATATATATATATATATATATATATATATATATATATAGTGGTACTCTGCTAGGAAAAACATTAGGTATTTCGGCTTGTAGTTGAACAAACCAATATCCAAGGAAAAATGAGGAATAAAAAAAGAAAGAACTAAGAACAAGAAAATGAGGCGAAAACAATCGTCCAGAGTTCAAGCTCAGAGTCCAAAGAAAAAAAAACAAAACGAGTAAAGTAACTACGTAAAGTACTCAATACAGTAAAGCAAACCTATTATAAATCTAAAGAGCCAGGTAAACCTACTCAGGTTTCACCTAAACGAATCGTCAGGGTACAACTGGCCAGTTGTACCCTGACGACCCGTTTAGATGACACCTAGGTTGATTTAGCTGGCTCTTTAGGGTTATATATATATATATATATATATATATATATATATATATATATATTCATATTCTTTTGGCAAGAAGCAAATATGTGGAACAGTTGTCAGATTAAGGTGAGGACTATCAGAATCATATCCGGATAATTGGCGAACGTAAATGAAAGATTACATAGAGATGAGCGCTGAAAAATGATCAGATGGACACAATTCCCAAAATCTAGCCAAATGTCAAGACGTCAGCACTTTCATTTTCCAATGGTTTCTTGCATGGGTTACGAATTTTTAATCCCACCCTGGTATTAACTAACCTAGAAACACGCCATTAACACGACGAACACCTTTTTTTACAAGTTCAGAATAAACATCTTCCGATATCAAGTTTCGCAGACACACCGTTCTCCAGGCTATGATATATACCTATGTAAATAGATTTATACAAGATACTTCATTCAGTATATAAACTGGAGTTTAAAGGCGAAAAGATCTTTGTAAGCAATGTGTTCAGTATTTAACAATATGACAAGAATAGTTATAAATAAATAACCGGTTAAACTACATATCTTCCGATTTCAAGTTAAGCAGATATATGGGGTCGTCAGAGTAAAATACAGGGCGTCCATACAGTTCGTATGCACTTTAAAAAAATTATAATTATTTGTATTTGCGATAGAAGTAATGAAAGAAGTAAATCTATATTTTTTAAGGTTTTATTGAAATTTTTTTTTTTCCACATGTCCTCCATCATTAGCAATACAAAGGGTAATACGATTTTGCAGTTCACGGAAAACATTTGCCAACTGATTTACAGTAATGCCCGAAATCACATTAGTTATTTTAGCTATACTTAAAACTAGGTACATTAAACGTTATAACATTTTTTACGGATTATTTCTATCGAAAAATACAAATAAAGTTATAATTTTTTTAAATGCACACGAACTTTATGGACAGCCTGTATATGTAAATAGATTTATCTTAGCCTGATAAACGGTTTATTTGCAAGAAATTTAAATCAGTATATGTTAATTACACATTTAAAAACGTAAAAATTAAAAAAGTTTAAGAAACTGATATTTTTTACGGTTTATCGGCACATTTCTTGTTGTTTAAAGTCGAAACAAACCTAGGATTGTGAGAATAATAGTCAATGTGCGAGCGAATACTAGAGTAATGCTTTTCGCACATATAAGTCCTAATATTTAACCCAGAGATTTTTTTACGGTGGGGAAGAGAGGGAAGATGGATTCATGCCTTTCCCAGGGGTATTTGTGTCGAAGTGAATAAAAAGAACTCGACTGATATTCGAACTTGGCTTTTACCAATTTCTCATTCTCATCCATTACTCCCCCAGCACACTCAAAAACAGAGCGATCTAATAACATATACCGGGTGTAACAGCAAAGTTGTCCAATTGTTAGATTAAGCTGAGAACCATTGAATCTTAGAAATGATTAAAGATATTTTACTGGAATTCACCGAGGTTTTTTATAACACTATAGGAATCTACTTTGAACTATAAGAATAGGCTGTACTCTGCGAAATAAGAATATATAATTACTTTCCAAGCTTAACAGAAGAATCGTGATGAAATCGATCATAAACGGAAATTATATGTTCATCATTAATTAAACATGGCTAAGAATCGGAAGCTCCTGACGGATAGAATTAAAGTTCAAATATATATATATACATGATTCTAGGATCATTTCCAACTTATTCAAGATGATATTCGCCCTCTCTAACCTTTTAACTTTCTGTCCTGGACTAACAAGTCACCTCATATGTTTCATGTACGATTTTATTTTCAAGACTTTTTCACTGCTCTTTGGACTGTCATAGAGGAAACTCTTCTCTCACGTGCTAAACGTCATATGAATTGAGTTAAATCTTTTTCTAATTGATCTCTTTATCTGAAATGATGATCCCTCTTCCTGTTGTGACCTTCTGATCCAGTTTTCCTCTCTACTGTTCCCTCTTTTTTTAAACTTATTTACCATTCTCTTGGTGGTTCTTGAATGGACTTTGAAGATGGAATCTAGAGTATGCTTATTGGTACCATTACTGAAGGCCTGAATGATCCTTTTCCTCTCACCATTGCTCAGTTGAGAAGACATAGTGAGGCTGACACAAAACGATTTTAACCTGTTCTCTTTCTAGCTGAATAACTCAAAGGTTTTTTTCAGTGATTATTAGGACAAATGTTGTCAAGATGACTAAAGATCTTATTTGAAAACCTGGAAAAAAGAAACTTAGTAAGTTTAGAGGTTTTTTTTAGATATTAAGTATTTTGTGGGATGGACAATTATCCCATGCTGTTACACGATTTGCACAATTTTACTGTTACATCCGGTATATCCGCGCACGTGCGTGTGTTTGAACTAATGTGCATAATTGCATATATACGCCTCAAAATATGAATTTAGACATTTGAACACAAATTCTCTCTATATCTCTCTTTCTGAGACACCTAAACAGATACGCTCACACACATACACACACACAAACACACACTTATTCATCTACGGTGATTCCATAAATGTGCCTATGCAAACATACGATCTGTAATTTTACGTCTCTGTACATTTACTTTTCTGTGTTGTGTGTGTGCTTCTGTGAAGTAAGATGTCTAAGATTCTATTCTTCCTCTTTTAAAATTCTCGCCTGATCCCCCTCCCCCCTCAATAATCCCCTTCTTTTTTCCCGCTTTGTCTCGGCAGACATTTTGCAACTCTTCTGGTTGGAGAAACAGATTAAGAATTCATATTTCATAAAGGTTCGTGCGTAGTGCTGGAACGGCATGGAATCATGGACTCTTGGAGGAAAAGGTCACAGGTACAGACATAAAGAGTTTCAGTACGGGTCGGCGAAGAAGCTGAGGGAGCTTTGAAAATGGTAGAAAAAAATATGAAATGGACTAAGAAAGAAAGAAAGAAAGAAAGAAAGAAAGAAAGAAAGAAAGAAAGAAAAAAAGAAAGTATACCAGTACACTTATATTGGTCAGAAAATGAAATGAAAAGAAAGAAAGAAAGAAAGAAAGAAAGAAAGAAAGAAAGAAAGAAAGAAAGAAAGAAGTACCTCTTGCAAGAAATAGAATAAAATACAAAGAATGAATGAAAAACGACTGACAAATATTTGTGTCGGAACAGAAGAAAAAAACGAAAAGGGTCTTCTGGAGAAAAAAAACAAGCGAAAAAAGAAAGAAAGAAAGAAAGAAAGAAAGAAAAAAGATAAATGATTAAATATTACAAAGAAAGAAATTAATATGTAGATAAGTCTGAAAGAAAGAAAGAAAGAAAGAAAGAAAGAAAGAAAGAAAGAAAACTTAGCAGAGTCCAAGAAAAATAAGGAAAATCGAAAAGTAAAAGAAAGTATACATAAAAACGTAAAGTATCCTCAGTGCCAGAAAAAGAAAGAACGAGAAAGAAAAAAGGGAAATGCGGATAAAACGCTTTACGAGCAAAGAAAGAAAGAAGAAAAAGAATTAGGAAAATCATTAGTTATGACAAGGAATGAAATAAAACTATAAAAACAAAGTGACCAGTCAGTATGAAAGAAAGAAAAGATTTTATGAAAGGAAAGAAAGAAAGAAGATAATGATGAAGGAAGATAATAAGAAAGAAACAAAGAAAACGTAAAAAAAAGATGCAAAGAAAGAAAGAAAGAAAGAAAGAAAGAAAGAAAGAAAGAAAGAAAGAGAAAAACTGAAAAGAACAGAAAGAAAAACAGTGCACAAGAAAACGTGAAATAATGCCGGAAGAAAACGAACATCATTTGCTCGTGTAACGAAAAGAAAACAGTTAAATGATAAAGAAGAAATAAAAGAAAAATTGAAAAAGTAAAGAATAATAATAAGAAATGTTATAAAAGAAAAGAAGCAAAGAAAGAAAGAAAGAAACATAAAAGAATTAACACAAAAAGAACAATTGGATAGAAAAGGCTCCCGTTCTTGTTCCCGACACCGGATGTGAATATAACTGTTGCGCATGCTCAATGTTAGAGTTGGTATGAATCAAATAGGTAACGAATAGAACAAAACAGAACAGAACAGAACGAGTAGTCTTTGATAACCATATTCATGAGATTTTTTTTTTTTTTTTTGACAGTGAGACTCAGTTTTTACTAACCCCGGCGACCACTCGAGTTAGAGGCTTACGTTAGGAGTGTATACGTGAGGGAGATAACAATTAACCCTAACCTTGAATAGGTTAAGATTGTAGTGATCGAGGAAGCAACTTGTTGGGGGTCGATCCCACAGTGCAGTGGTTGGCGGAAAGAAGCCGCTCAAGTGGAATACGGAGGGAATGTAGAGGGTTTGCTACTATGTAAGTGGCATGGCATGTCCTTGTTATGATGGTTTGCCTTGGTGAGAGCAGGGGATGTAGTTCACCCGAGCAGTTTCCATGGAAGAAACGATAAACCAGAGAAAGGCTTACAACATCCCGCCTGTAGAAGAGGGATTAAAGGGTGGAGAATAATGTATCACCCTGGAGGGCTCGGAGAAGCTTTTGAACTTTATCTAGCTGGAGTGTGAGGTGTTGGTAGCTCCTGTCCAAATATGACAACAGTACTCCATTTTGGGCCTCATCTGGTTCTTGTAAATGTAGAGGAAGGCATGAAGAGTCAGGTACTTACTGGAGGCAGATCCAATGTTACTATTGTGTATCGGTGGGAGTGAGATTATAAACATTGATGAAGAGAGTTATAATATGGAGAATGGGAAAGACGTCTTGCATGTAGCAAGTTGTAGCCAAAATTCACAGATCCCGTGGTCGAGTGTAGAAATCTAGGGACATTATTTGAATAAGTAGTGATGAAAAGGAAGACATAAAACTGGAAAGAGGAATACATATATATATATATATATATATATATATATATATATATATATATATATATGTGTGTGTGTGTGTGTGTGTGTGTGTGTGTTCGTTCGAAATGACAATTGCAGAGAAGGTAATTTTTAGACGTGCTTCATTCCTCTATTCGTCCTGGATAAGACGATAAACTACATCCGCGTCCGGAGTAAGACGAGAAACTACACCCAACAGCAAGGCCTCTGATCACGTTTTGAGGAGCTTGGTATCATATCTTAATTGATGGTGTTCCAAGGTACACTATGATCCGACGTGGTAGCACATTTTAGGGTCCCAGCTATGGGCAAATAGTTAACCCCAAAACTGGGGTTAAAATACTATGTAAGTGTAAAAACAGGTTTTAGTACCAGCAATATATATTTGTAAAAAAAATTTATTACTAGCAATGAATTTTTTAAGAAAAATTATTAGCAGTAATACATTTTTGAAGAAAAATATTACCAGCAATACATTATTACCAGCAATTCATTTTTGGAAAAAAATATTAGCAGCAATACATTTTTTAACAAAAATATTACCAGAAATAACAATATTTTCGGCATTAAATAATATATGACATAAAACAAACCAAATGAATCTTCTATTTTACTGTATATTATTCAACATTACATGAAAAGGCATGACAGCTTTATTTAGTAGATCATTTATAAGAGAGGAACTATATAACAGAAGGATAGTTAAGCATCAGAACTGAAAAGTCACAAACAATGGAACATTTCTCTTTTCCGTCTTCCAGCAAACATGGGGTATATGTTGTTCACCCCAAATACCCAGGCTGTCTTGTTCAGAGCTTTGCTTAATTTTGAAGTATCTACGTCTTCTGCCACGGGGGAAAGCTCTTGTTGATCTCCTGGGGGTATTTCTACAGTGTTTGTATTTTTAGGAACTGGTAATGCTAGACCCACGCCAAACACCCTTCCTCGCTCTCCACCTCCAGTCTTATCGTAATTTACTGGAATACACATACAGATTCACACAACAGTCATCCATTCATTCACGAAAGTAGTAATAATAATAATAATAATAATAATAATAATAATAATAATTCACTCACACATAAACACACTACTTTTACTCCTTTCTAGCACGCTTGAAATTTTGGTTAAAAATCGTGTTTTTTAGACGGTGTAACAGAGCTACTAAAATAGTTCGCTTTCTGATCATGAGACCATCTCATCACGGTTGATTTGTCAGAAAGGAGACTTCCTGATATTATCGGTCTAAAGAGGGGCGGTCCCAGCATGCAGCACCTTTGGAAAGTGCCTGAAAACTATACCACGGGTTGACCAAAACCTTTCGAGTGAAATTGGGTAGACGGAACCCTTGCGTGAGGCCGTCGATAGCTGTGCTAGCACGAAGTCACAAGCCATCGTGACCGAGGGTTTCAGTGTCCTGGCCTTGTTCAGGTTGTTGATCACGCTAGATAACACACTATAACTAAGGTCTGCAGTATAAACCACAGGTGGGACCTGTGGATGTCGAACAAACACAAATGAGCCTGAGCGGGCGTCTGAATTAGGGATTGGCTAACCGCCTTATTAGACGTGTATAGATAGATAGATAGATAGATAGATAGATAGATAGGTGATGATGATGATGATGATGATGATGTATGTCGTCGTTTTCGATGTATGAGAGTATAACAATATATACCGCTATTGATGTCTACTTGTGTTATGTCTTTTAAAATCAAAAACCACTTCTTCGAGGAACAAGAGAGAATTATCATTAATTTTGTTTCTTTTAATCATTTCATCCCAAGGAATTTTACGATTTGGAGCAGACTTTGGGAAACTTGGTAAGATTTTGAAAAAAAATTGATTATTTACATTCCCTAAGCAATCTTACTTTTAACTAATAAAAAAAGCATTTCGTTGACGATTTTAAATTCTAGAAAATGTTATGAAATTAAGTGTGTGTGGGTGGGTAATAGCTGAAAAACATATTTTTTACTAAGTTTTTTTTTCTAAAATAATAGTTTCAAAAATAAATTTATTCATTTGTAAATACGTCCTGAAAGTTTCATTAAAATCCCTCAATTATTTAATTTTTGGAAGAATTTTCAAATTAATGTGTTATTTTAGTGGAAAAAAAGGCGCGAAAATGTCCGTTAGCAGCTCTGTTACACCGTATAAAAAAAACAAGATTTTTAACCAAAATTTCAAACTTGCTAGAAACGCTTCAAAGGTGTGTGTTTATGTAAGTGTGTGTGTGTTATTATTATAATGTCATTAAGACACATGGAGTTACGACAGGGGGTGGAATGTATGAAAGAGAATGTGAAGACTTTAGAAGGAACCCGAATGTAAATCCTTAACGAGAAACAATGGATAAACCTCTATACCTATTCAAGAGATGTGAAAGGAGAGTGAGCCTAGCGATAGGCGAACTTATCTAATCCTACTTAAAAAATTAACATTTATTTATATTAAAACAATGACAAAACTTCATGATAATATTTTCGATTTTGTTTTTGGCAAACATTAATTTTGTCATTTCTTCGAGTTTTATTTTTTTTAATATTTTTGAAAGACTTGATTTCAAGCATTTACCCTACCACCCGATTAATAAACCCTCTCCCCGCATTCTCTTCTTATTTCTTTGCTTACATTTATTCTTGTTTCGCAAAAAAGGCTTTCCCACTCTCCAGGAGAAATGTTCTGCAGTTGGCGGTACATGAGAATGTTCCGTGTTCTTACATCACTCGTGCACCCAGCATGACCAGTCAAGCAAAGTTGCGATTGCATTAGAAATGTCTATATGCCTCCAATTTCGAACTTTGAAAACTGAGCAATATTAGACAGTTTGGCTTCCAGATTATAGCCACAGCTTGTAAGAAAGCACCGCTTATCAAAGACATCAAGATGGTGAATACGATTCCGGTTGGGAATCCAGGTTTCGAAGCCATAGAGGAGAATTTTAATTACAACTCGGTATATGTTAAGCGTGATCTTCAAAGAAATTCCTTTGACATTCTACGGTCGATGGTAGAGCTTTCCGAAGCATTCTCTGTGTTTGAAGATATACATATTTAATGATAAATCATTTCATTTTCTTATTAATCATTTTTATTATTAAACTTTATATGTAGTAAGTACACGGGTTTGAGTAGACAGCGCTTGATGTCAAAGAGTGAATTTTACGTAGACCTGAAGATCGAAAGTCATCTTAATGAAAATATGTCTCACAACAGGAAGTGAACGTGTATTCTATTCTAGGAAATGATTTTAATCTGGGGTCTTTCTGTGCTGTAATGACTTCCCATCATTTAACCTTGCATTCTCGTCAGAATCTGTCGTTTTGAGCTAGTTCGCTTCCAGATCCTTTCATAAGAATGCGGAGGTTACCCAAGGCTTTGTCCTGGGTCCTACGTTGTTTCCGATCTTCAAACAATGATCTCCCCGATGTTATCAGTTCCCAAGTAGGTATTTACGCAGATGATACTGACGTGTACTCCTGTCTCAATAGAAAATCCGGTAGCTCTGACGAAGTAAAACCTGGCAGCTGGTCTTGAAAAGAACCTCCAATCAGTGGTTAACTGGGGCCAGAAATGGCTTGTAAATTTTAACGCTACGGAAACAAAACTGCTTTCATTTAATCACCACAGACAACCTTTTCTG